TAACGCGTGTTTCACGCGAAACGCTCTAGTTCAAAAATCTGAACTTCAGCGGACATTCGCGCCGTGTTAACCAATCAGGAGTGGGGGCGTGATTGTGACGTATTGCTTGTTGTGGGTGTCCCAGGGAAAATCCTCCAGCCGACACCGACAAGAAGTTCATCAAACTGGGCTGGGCTCAATCAGAAGCACCGCTGAAAGCCTCCGTCAGCCAGGTTCAGTTTCTGGAGGAGTTTATGAGTTCACAGAGCTGGATGCACCTCTGAAAGGATGTAGTGGACTCAGACACGGCCCTTAACGCATCAACGCTGTTTTTCAGCCTTCATAAAGCACATAAACACTGATTTTCTTCAAAAAATCCATGTTAGCCATTTAGCTACAAAGCTACAGTCACCGGGCAGACAGAAGCCCTGCCCATCACGTGAATCCGCGTCTGTTCTGAAGTGAATTTGACGAGCGAATTAATCGGATTTGACGCGCGAATGAAGCTAGGTTTGATGCGCGAATAGCGCTATTTATCCGTGCGTTCCGCGTCTGGTGTGATAGCAGCATCACACACTCATGAACTTCCACCTGATTACTGATCACCCGCACCTGCATCAATCACCCATGTGCTATAAAGACTCACCTCATTCATAGACTCACCTCATTCATTCACTCACTGACTGGAATCAAAGTCAGAGGAATCCTCTCATCTTCTCTCTCTCTCTATTCCTCCTGTGCTCTTCCGTGGATGTCCTCTTTCTCCTGTGGATGCAAACACTTCTGAATAAGTGACTAAAGTTATGTTGGTGTATTACTGATCTGAAACTTACCATTTGAACAGTGTGTAAGATCATGCTCCCTCTACTACACTACTAACCTTCTTCATCTCTCAGCTACTGTTGCATTGCATGAATAAATACCCTTAAAAATGTATCCATCTTTGTCTTCCTTGTGTGACAGTGACAGTTGGAGAGATGTTGCATTTGGTAACTTTCCAAAGCAACCAAAATACAACAAAATATCAACATCTAATCATATCACAGCTTGACGTTACCAATATATTGTCTATCAGATGTTGACTTTTGGTTGCCATACCTGACAACTAAATGTCAGTATTTGACGTCAATATGATGATGGTTTAGGATGTTGGCTTGATGTTGGATTTTGGTCACTTTCCAACATCGAAATAACATCGTCCTTAGCTGCTGGTGACCTAAATCTAACCTATTATTAATTTCTTATGATGTTGTGCATCTTCCGGGATGTTGTTAAAAAGAAGCACTACAAGTCAAAAGTGTGGAAATGGTCACATTTCAAACTTTGCCAAAAAAAAAAAAAAATTTTTGTTTGCATGAGATGGTTTAGGTGGTTCAAGAAAAAGCTTAATACAAATACTGGGACATGAAAACAAATTTGCCAAATAAAATCTGACATATAAAACATTACACCCATGTGACTCCATTTTGTTTGACCTGATTACTAGTTGCTACTAGAAGAGCTATACTACTGTAAGACACTCTAATAATTAGCAAATTGGGCATATCTATGAATAACCTTCCACTAAACTCCGGTAACAACCTGCTGATTGTTAAATAGTATGAAATATCATTAAATGTACAGTTATTTTTGGAATTAATAAAAAAAGTATTCTATTAAGTACATCTATTCCCAGAATTAAATATACAATTCCAGATTTTTCTGTGTGACACTTTTTATTCAAGGTGTTTTTTCTTCTGCTGCATAAATCTTGAATTATTATTTTTGATTTAGACCTTTTAGATCTTTAACTGGAAAATATATATATTTTTTAAGTTTAGAGTTTACCTTCGGTGGAGTTGTATTGCATTAGCATCCATAACATTTGGCACTGTTTGGCATATGGGAGTGCATTGGCAGTCACAAAAATGCCATGCCATGTTTATATTATATTATATTGAATTATATATATATATATATATATATATATATATATATATATATATATATATATATTAGTGCTGTCAAAATTAGTGTGTTAACGTATGCGATTCATTTGAAATATTTAACGAGTTAAAAAAAATGTATGCAATTAACTCAGGTGCAGTTTTTTTATTTCCTGTTGTGGTCGACGTGTATTCAACATGCAAAGAAATATGGATAAGCGAGCTGTCAGACAGCGCATTCCTCTGCCTTTCAGCATGAGCTCTCAAATGTTTCATTAAGTTTGACCTGTTTCCCCCTTACACGCAAGTGTCTGCTTCGTGTTGTTGTGTCAGAACCCTTGTGAAATACACCCATACTTTAGAGATCTTAGTTTAAGCAAATTTGATGAATGCGATCATGTTGAATCTGAAGGGAGTCGCTCCGCCTGCCCTGTGCGTTTGTGTCTGTCTGTCTGTGTGTGTGTGTGTGTGTGTGTGTGTGTGTGTGTGTGTGTGTGTGTGTCTGTGTGTGCGCGCGTTTCTTAGCAATAAACCAGCATAAACATCCGTAGCCACTAAATAAAAAAGTTACGAATTGCTGTGATATTGCGTTGCACTCTCAGCTCACATCATTTAAAAGAAAAAGTCCACATTGTCCCCCGATAATGTCAACAGACTGGACTGTCTTAACAACTGACTGAATGTAAAGGAGGACTGAGTAAAATTGTTTCTACTTTATAATGTTCTCAACTCACAGCAATACAACTTTACAACGAGTGCAATCGTTTGTATTCAATACTTTATTAATATTATTTTCCAATTTCCATATCTGTAATGCCTGTATTTCAGCATTTTTTTTGTTGTTTACATGAAGAAATCTGTGCTATAAGTTAAACAAAAAAATCTAATAAACAATTATATTTTGAATTTAAATAGTTTTTGTCTTGCCTTTACATTAATTTTACATTTGAATAGCCAAAATGACAAATTTCAGTCTTTTAAATCTGATTAATTGTGATTAATTTTCAAAAAAGGTGTGATTAATTTGTTTATTTAATCGATTGACAGCACTAATATATAGATGTAGATAGATAGATAGATAGATAGATAGATAGATAGATAGATAGATAGATAGATAGATAGATAGATAAATAGATTGATTGATTGATTGATTGATTGATTGATTGATTGATTGATTGATTTGCCTATTTTTGACAGCCCATTGGCTTTAGTTCTGCTGCAAAAACCTGGACAGAAACGCCAACTGACCCAGCTGACGTTTGTTTGGCTAGAATAAAAGCAGTTTAAAAAAAAAAAAAAAAAACATTTAAAGGTCAATATTATTAGCCCTTTTAAGCTATTTTTTTTCGATAGTCTACAGAACAAACCATCGTTATACAATAACTTGCCTAATTACCCTAACCTGCCTAGTTAACCTAATTAACCTAGTTGAGCCTTTAAATGTCACTTTGAGCAGTATAGAAGTGTCTTGAACAATATCTAGTCAACTATTATTTACTGTCATCATGGCAAAGATAAAATAAATTAGTTATTAGATTCGAGTTATTAAAACTATTATGTTTAGAAATGTGTTGAAAAAAAAATCTTCTCTCCATAAATGGAAATTGAAGAAAAAAAATAAACAAGCAGTCTAATAATTCAGGGGGGGGGGGGGCTAATAATTCTGACTTCAAATTTATGTACAGTATATATGTGTGTGTGTGTGTGTGTGTGTGTGTGTGTGTGTGTGTGTGTGTGTGTGTGTGTGTGTGTGTGTGTGTGTGTGTGTGTGTGTGTGTGTGTGTGGGTGTGTGTGTTTGTGTGTACGTGTTTTTATGACATATCAGGACACAAATCTGTATAATGACATGGGTATGACAGAGGTATTACAAAAAGGAGGTGAAATATAAGGACATTCGTGACGTCCTCATTTCTCAAAATCCTTATAAATCACACAGGATGAGTTTAATCAGAAAGTAAAGCTGCACACTGTTTCCTGTGATGGTTGGGTTTAGGGATGGGGTGGGGTGAGGGCAATACAATATACGGTTTGGACAGTATAAAATGAATGGAAACCTATGTAATGTCCCCACTTTTCACAAAAACAAACATGTGCGTGTGTGTGTGTGTGTGTGTGTGTGTGTGCGTGTGTGTGTGTGTGTGTGTGTGTGTGTGTGTGTGTGTGTGTGTGTGTGTGTGTGTGTGCGTATTGAAAATTAATAGATGCTATAGACATAACCTGGAAAATTTGTGATCCCTCAATTACTTTATGCAACATAATTACTCAGCAAGGCAAGCGGAGCAGTTGAAACACTCACACATAAGCTGACCTAAACCTTAAAGGTTGTGAATTGTTGCATACTAATGTGAAAGGCATGAGACCTAGACTGACTCACACAATAATATCCATGCACTAATAATGCAGCGCTGCTTACCAGCTGTGCTGCAGAGTTGAGGAATTAAATCATGCTCAATCCTTTGCACTAAGCAATATAATAATTCACATTCAGAAATACAGAAAATATTTAAGTATTTCTGTTTAATTTTATTATTATTATTAGTTTTTTTTTTACTTTAGAACATTTTTGACACGCATTTATATGAATTTATCTAAAAAAATTATATAAATTCATATAAATACCTGTAAATTAAATTATAAATTATAAATATAGATAAAATAAAAATATATATATAAATAAAATATTTTATAAGAGAAGAGACAAATATGTTTTAAATAACTAATGTCAGAATATTTAGGTCTTGTATATTTTTTAAATATTTTTCTTGTTCTATATATATTTTTATTGAGCTTCAATGCCAAGTCAAGTATTCAGGTTTACTGTGTGTCCAATTAAACGGTCACTTTGAATGTAATATAAAGCTGACAAATCATTAAATCCAAAGTCTTCTAAAGGAAATTTTCCTTACACTGGCCTGATATAAGGCCCAGAGCTCCACAAGCATCGCTGCAATTCCATCAGACCCAGCTCAAATTCACCAGGCCGGTGTGACTTCAGGGGTCCCAGAGATGCAAGTGCGTGTGTGAGGGATGGCCCGTCGGAGGTGGAAGGGGGAGGAAAACGACCAGCCGTGGGGTTGGGTTGGGTGTGGGGGGCTTCAGAGACACATTTTGGGATAGATGGATGCCATTCTACAGAACTCCGGTGGCCGATGGTGCAAGTGAACAGTGAGGTGTCATTTTATGGAGGACGTCAAGGCATACACAAGAGGTGCCAGAGAACAGTGAGGACATTTTTGAGCCGCTGTCAACCATTTCTGAGCAGAGCTGTTGGCAAACACTGCGGACGGTTAGGCACGGTAAGTGAGATGTCGCTTTGTTTTTGAACAGAACTGTTCAGTATTGTCATGAATTTCAAAATAACTATAGGCACTTCATAAAATATATATTAAATTTTTAAATAGATGGTACAGAGTCCCTCCAGCATGCTTTCAATGCTCCTGTTATACTTAAAAAAATAAATAAAGCTAATTATTGGAGTATATTTTCTACAAGACACACTTAATGCAGATTGATTGTACTTTTATAAAGAATTTAATAGTCTTTCTGGCTGATTCTACACGGTTAGTCTTCATATGCACATGACTGGTGCATATGAACTTTAGCAAAAAACATTGGTCATCATTTTTTTTAAACTCAATTTTTCCAAACCTGATTAAACTTTGTTTCTTTTGCAAAAAATCAAGAAAGAAATCAAGATCTCAAATTTTTATTTTATTATTATTCTTTTTTTCATGGTTAAATTTAGTGGGGATCAGCAACTGCGTGGTTAACCAATTTTTTATTAATTTATTTTTTTAATCAGAAAAGTAATATTTAAATTCAAAGAAAAATATAATATTAAATAATTGAATGAACGAGCAAACTAAAAAAATAAATGTATTAAATTATACTATTCAAATATTAAAATAAAGGAAATCGTCATACATTAAATTAAAGATACAAAATGACATCTTAAAAAAATCCGATGTGTGTATTTAATGGAGGTTTTGCTACCTCATGAGGTCGCAAGGGAGGAAATGTCAGCAAAGCACTGAAACTGACACTGGTAGGTCACATGACACTGGCAACATGGCGAATGTACTGTAGTATATCCAGATTATTCACATCATGACAGCATGCTTGTTTTAATCTGCATCTTCTCTATTGATTATATGATTGCTTGTTTGAGTTTAGTTTAAGGCCCCGTTTACACTAGTGCGTTTTAGTTTGAAAACACATAAGTTTTGCTACGGTTACGCCATCCGTCCACACTACGCCGGAGTTCTCGAGCGCCGAAAACGGAGCTTTTTGAAAATGCTGGATTAGCCGTTTTCATTCTAAAACGCTGCTGCTCCGTCTCAGTGTGGATGGGGAAAGACGGAGACATCTGAAAACGGAGGCGGGGCTGCAAACGTTCGCCTCTCTGATTGGGGCTTTTCCTCAATATTAAGTAGCCTAACACACACAGTTCAGTCTCGCATCCTCTTCTTGTAAGTCAAGACTTCGCAAGTTTGATCAAGGCTGCAGTCTCCCCCTTCTCAGTTTGATATGGAAAACATACCGAGGACACGGGTAAATCTTCAAAGGGAACAGTGTACTTCATAACTTCATTCACATCACCTTGGCTACGTTGTTTCACTTTCTCAACAATAAAATGTAAACATGATTTAAGGAACTGCCTATTTTCTTTTTAATATTAGCAACTTAACAGACAGCAGAAATGTTGAGGCGTCGTGCTGCATATATGAGCGTCATCTTCACTGTGTGAATATTTATAACAAAACGGAGCCGATAACAACTGCATCCTTTCAATTTCAGTGAAAATACGAAACACACCCTCTCTTTTGCTGAATATCAGTTTTAATAATCGATAATTATAAAAGTATAACATACAATAAGTTTATACATTGTTGGAAATAAAGGCAAGCGTTCAGTCAATGTACTTGGATTAATCATTAACTTATCTTTGCGCTTAACCAAAACATGTTACCCGTGAACAAGTAACTTAATAGATTCCAATGACCAAAGTCAGGGAATATGTCGTTAGATAAAGACAACATGAATGAAATATCACATTTAGCAAATATAGTAATATTAGATCCAGCAGGAGATGCTTGATGAGCAGTCCGACAAGCAGAGCTTTCATCTGGGTAGAAATGCTGGAGCGCTTGCCCGAAAGTGTGTGTGTGGTCACGTGATGTGCGTTTTCAGCGTTTTGGTGTGGACGGAGAGCTGTTCAGAAACGCTGGGTAAAACGCGAGTGTGGACGCGGATCGTTTTCATTCTACAACGCCGTTTTAAAACTAAAACGCACTAGTGTAAACGGGGCCTAAGTCACTTTAGTTTGTCACAATGCATGCTATTAAGTTATAAAACATGCAACTTCTGCCTTATTACCTACTTATTGTTGCAATTATAACTGTTTAGTTCTAAATATGATTTTAATCTACACCCCAATAAAAACCTAGAATAATAGAATAAATTGTGACCTAAACCTAAAGTGTTATCTTTAAGATTTATCTTTAAGAGTTTCTTTTTAAGCACAAATAAAGATATTTTGAAGAATATTAGGAGCCAAAAAGTTGATGGTCTCCATTTGACTTTTCAGTACAACTATACAGATCAATGGAATCCCACAATGTTTTGGGCTTGTGAAAGAAACTCATAGAGGTCTAAGGTCTCATTTATAAATGTGTTGTACACAAAACAGGGGCTGAAATGTGAGTATGCCACTTCCCACACAAAAGTTGAGATCTACTGTATAAAAAACTAACTTGACAGGAAAATGTGTGCAGCTCTAAGAAAACATACTGTATTTAACTTATCTAAACCATGTTTAATGATCACATGAACCACAGTGATCAATACATAAATGAATTCTGCTGTCTGGTCACTTTTAGAAACCTTTAGACCCCTAGATGTTTTAAATGTGAACTATAATGAATTTGTGCCAGGCATGTGACATACAGTTGAAGTCAGAATTATTGGCCCCCCTGAATCATTCGCCCTCTGTTTATTTTTTTCCCCAATTTCTGTGTAATGGAGAGCAGATTTATTTCAACACATTTCTAAACATAATAGTTTTGATAACTCATTTCTAATAACTGATTTACTTCATCTTTACCATAATGACAGTCAATCATATTTTACCAGATATTTTACAAGACACTTCTATACAGCTTAAAGTGACATTTAAAGGCTTAACTAGGTTAATTAATTTAACCAGGCATGTTAGGGTAATTAGGCAAGTTATTGTATAATGATGGTTTGTTCTGTAGACTATCGAAAAAATATATAGCTTAAAGGGGCTAATAATTTTGACCTTAAAATAGATTTTAAAAAATTTAAAACTGCTTTTATTCTAGCCGAAATAAAACAAATAAGACTTTCTCCAGAAGAAAAAAATATTATCAGACATACTGTGAAAATTCTCTTGCTCTGTTTAACATCATTTGGGAAATATTTTAAATAGAAAAACAAATCAAAAGAGGCTTAATAATTCTGACTTCAACTGTATATGATGATAAATATACGATGAACAAACTGAGCAGTTTTACAGTATTTTGTACACACCAAGCTTTCCATTATATTTCAACATTATCCCAAACCTCAAGAGCAACCATTTATTATTTATTTTTTATCTTACCTTTGATTTTAGGTGGTGAAATTCATCAAGTCCAATGGCTTATAAGGAGGTTAGTGATTATCAATAGCTCTGTCATTCCTGATTTGATATTTTATCATTTGTGATATTTATTTATTTACTCTTATTGTTGTTGTTGTTGTGTACATACTTCACAAAATATGTGGGTACTTAAACTGTGCTGCAGCCACACCATTACAGTAGAAGGGCATGCGCACACTTCACAGGTTGGGTTTGATTGAAACAAAATGTGCTGCATCTGGGCGAGGCAGTGGCGCAGTAGGTAGTGCTGTCGCCTCACAGCAAGAAGGTCGCTGGGTTGCTTGTTGGAACCTCAGCTCAGTTGACGTTTCCGTGTGGAGTTTGCATGTTCTCCCTGCCTTCGCGTGGATTTCCTCCGGGTGCTCCGTTTTCCCCCACAGTCCAAAGACATGCAGTACAGGTGAATTGGGTAGGCTAAATTGTCCGTAGTGTATGAGTGTGTGTGTGGATGTTTCCCAGAGATGGGTTGCGGCTGGGAGGGCATCTGCTGCGTAAAAACTTGCTGGATAAGTTGGCGGTTCATTCCGCTGTGGTGACCCCGGATTAATAAAGGGACTAAGCCGACAAGAAAATGAATGAATGAATGTGCTGCATCTGCTCAGTTTCATACACGTTTCATTTGAAGCAGAGAAGGAGAGCTGAAAAAATTCTTCCAAACAAATTCTGTTTTGGTTCAGTAAAATTGCAACATTGACCAAAGACATCTAAACAAACCAAAACCGAAGAAGTTTGCATGGTTTTCACATTCTCAAACATATCTGTATTTAGTCATGATGTTAACAACTTCAGTTAAATGCAGGAATCAGAAACACAGACCTTTCTGTGTGTGTGTGACTCCACATTTATAAGCTCCTAAATTGTGTCAATGCTGCTTTACAAGCATAAACAGCCAAATAATAAAAGTCAGATAGTGAGCAGTGAGGTGTCATGGAGGATTTCAAGACACGCGAGAGGTGCCAGCTAGGAGAACAGCTAGGAGATTTTTGAGCCGCTGTCCGCCGTTTCTGAGCAGAGATGTTGGCACGTTAAGCGAGATGTCAGTTTTTGTTATTGAAGAAAACTTGTCAGTATTGTTATGAGTACAAAAACACTGGAGTTTGTCTTAGAACGAACTCTGCACTTCATTAAATACATATTGAACATCTGAGTAGTTTGAGATTGTACAGGCTCCCTCCAACAAGCTGTCAATGCTCATGTTGCACTTTTAAAAATGAAACAGAACAAAGATTACTGGAGTACGTTTTAAAAGACATTAATATTTCTGCGTTTATACTGGGAATTTCAGCTTCTTGAGTCGTTTAATGCATTACATTCAGATTCACTGTATATAATCCCAGGTAGCATAGAACTCTGGCCCAGATTTGGCATAAATCTAGCACAGCAGACATTCATCCGGCACTGGCTTACGGCCCTGGTTTGGCAGAGGTGGCACCGTCCTTAAGGCTGCACACAATATTTGGGCCAGATGTAAATTGTAGTATTTGGCCCAGATGTTAATAATTGATATGTGGACCATCTAAGTTTGTCCTGTCTTGACCCACATTTAAAATACATTCATTCATTCATTCATTTTCTTGTCGGCTTTGTCCCTTTATTAATCCGGGGTCGCCACAGCGGAACGAACCGCCAACTTATCCAGCAAGTTTTTACGCAGCGGATGCCCTTCCAGCCGCGACCCACCCTGGGAAACATTCACACACACATTCACACACACACTCATACACTACAGCAATTTAGCCTACCCAATTCACCTGTACCACATGTCTTTGGACTGTGGGGGAAACCAGAGCACCCGGAGGAAACCCACGCGAACGCAGGGAGAACATGCAAACTCCACACAGAAACTCCAACTGAGCCAAGGTTTAAACCAGCGACCCAGCGACCTTGCTGTGAGGCGACAGCACTACCTACTGCGCCACTGCCTCGCCCACTTAAAATACATTTTTATTATTAATAAATAAAGGGAAAAAAGTATACCAATCAGGAAAAGGCACACCCATAGTGTGCCTAAGCGAATGGTTTATCAATTTAATTGCAGTTGTGACACACCAACATACTTGGCCCAGTTCAGGCTCAGTTATGGGTTTATAACTTGGCTGAAACTTGGCCCAGATATGGTCTATGTTTGGCCCTTGTCTGGAAACCAGACTTGGTCCAGTCATGTACCGTAATTCACTGTGGCATGTGGGCCAAGCAAAAGCTGATTGTGTGGGCAAAAATATTTAGCTATGTGGGATGTGTTAAAATAGAACTCTTTACACAAGCCAACATTCTTAACGGGCAAATAATAAGAGTTAGATTAAAATTTCATCACAAGCAGGCAGCAGACAAGGGGTGAAATTCTGGTGTAGGTGTACACTACTCATTTCAAAAATGATTAGGTTCAGTTCAATAACGCCATGGTTGAATTATAATCTACTGAAATTTAAATAGGTCGACGCATTGGGGCAGTAGGTAGTGATGTCGCTTAACAGCAAGAAGGTCGCTGATTCAAGCCTCGGCTGGGTCAGTTGGCGTTTCTGTGTGGAGTTTGCATGTTCTCTCTGCCTTTGATTGGGTTTCCTCCAGGTGCTCTAGTTTCCCCTACAGTCCAAAGACATGCGGTACAGGTGAATTAGGTAGGCTAAACTGTCCACAGTGTATGTATGTGTGCGAATGAGTGTGTTTGGGTTTCCCAGTGATGGGTTGCCACTGGAAGGGCATCTGCTGTGTAAAACATGTGCTGGATAAGTTGGCGGTTCATTCCGCGGTGGCGACCCCAGATTAATATAGAGACTAAGCCGAAAAGAAAATGAATGAATGGATGAATGAATGAATGAAATTTAAATATGCACATTTCCTAAAAGTAAATGTTAGCACAATGTTATTTATAAAGATTTTTGGAGCATGTTTGTAATGCTGATATAAAAATGTACTCAGAACAACATGAATGATGTTCAGATGATGTAGAAAAACATTTCCTAAAACAATCACATAATGTGGATGGAAGATTCTTATAACATGATTACATGAGACTGAAACGTAATAAAAATCTTTTGGGTAATGTTATTAGAACCAAAAAATCACATTATAAACTGAATGTTTTGTTGTTCTAAGAACATGTTATATAAGAGAATGGGGGTGTTAAAAGAACAGTTTCAGAATACAAAATTGTTAGTTGAGTCGACCAACTTTGAGCGAGCACGGTGACAATGGCCAACCCAGGCTCATTCTGAAAACGTACCCCGTACCCCTATATACATTAAACTCTATACACTATATACATAAACTCTATCAAACCTCTTCAGATGCTTCAGAATGCAGCAGCATGAGTGGTCTTTAATAAACCTAAAAGAGCACATGTCACTCCGCTGCTCATCCGTTTGCACTGGCTGCCAGTTGCTGCTCGCATCAAATTCAAAGCTCTGATGTTTGCTTACAAAGCAATTTCTGGCTTTGCTCCTTCTTATCTGCTCTCACTTCTGCAGATTTATAGACCCTCCAGAAACATGCGTTCTGTGAATGAACGTCGCCTCGTGGTTCCATCCCAAAGAGGGAAGAAAACGCTTTCCCGAACGCTCACGCTCAATCTGCCCAGTTGGTGGAATGAACTCCCTAACTGCATCAGAATGGCAGAGTCACTTGCTGTTTTCAAAAAGCGACTAAAAGCTCAACTATTTAGTCTCCTTTTTCCTTACTAATATGTAACTCCCTCTCTGACTCCTCCTCTAACTACAAAAAAAAAAGTATATATATATATATATA